CAGCTCTTTTTCTCGAGCTTCTTTCTTGGCCTTGTTGATGGCGATCTCCAGCGCGGCGATCCTCTCGGCGGTCTCTTCCTCCCGCTTCGCTCTCGCCTTCTGGGCCGCAGCATCCGCCACTTGCTCCAAGAGCTCCATGATACCAGGGGTCTGCAGCAGTGCCGCTATGGCTCCCTGATCTTGCTCTTGCTTCTTCTCCACCGCCGGTGGGGCACTCGCTTCCCCCATTGGTTCATCTTCCTCTACGGGTGGCGGAGTGGCTGTGGAGGGTCCAGCTGTGGCCTCCCGGACTTTTCCACCTCCTTGCCCATCCCGGGCTTTAACCTCACCAACCGAAGTCGGTGTCCCCTCCCGGGGTGTGTCAACCTCTCCCGACGTGTCGGGGGTGCCCTTGCAGGCAGAACTGTCTGATTCCTCGGCCTCCATGGTGGAGGCCGGGGAGGGAGCCCGTTGCTCCGCGCTTGCGCGTCCGCCCAGGCGGAAGCGTGGTAGCCACCCTCAGGTGGCTCCGAAACCAAATGATACGAAAAGTCTGTGGGTGTGGGGCGCCTGCCCTCTTTGAGCCGCGGACCCGCCTCGCCGGGCACCTAGGTCCTTACGGGGACCTAGGCGGGACCACCCCTCCTACTCCCATATCCTTATAAGTACAAGGGTTACCGTAGGACAAGGAATACAATACGATCTTGGGTAGGGCGTCCCCCACACCAAGGGCTAGTAGTAGGGCGTCCCCCACATCAGGCCGGTGCGCGTAACATGCTCGGCTCACTATCTCAGCACTCGGAGGGGTTGTGTGACGTGGCTACTTGGGGTCAGGCAGTTATTGAGGTTTTCTGGAGTGGGAATTACGTAATTGGCCAATCGACCTTTTGGGAGTGTAGTTTAGAGCTTCCTGGTTCCAACGCGCTTTTAAACGCCCAAATCCGTTAAGAATTGACGAAGATATGGCCTCCTGAAGTCGTAGTACTTAGGGCCAGGGGGTCGGGTGTTAGACGCTTGGAATTAGAGGACAATGGGTCGATCGTAGGTGAACGGTGGATGGTGACGATGTGCCTGGACGCGCACTTGTCTTGTCTTGTCATGATGTGACTGCGATGGACCCGCGATCGGGCATCGCGCATGCGATATGTGCGCGCGCATGCAGTGAATCGTTGTAACACTTTTGGCCCACTCTCTGGCCTCCTGCGAGCCAGCGAACCACCGCCTCGCTGCGCCGCCACCTCTCGCCGACAGCAGGCCCCAGGGATCGATCCCCGTCGAGCATTGGGCCCACCGCGTGACCACAGGAGCGACTGTCCCGGATACGCCCACCGTCCAAGGTGGAGAGGGCCGGCTGACCTCCAACAGCCGAGCTGCAGGGCAGGGCGACCCCAACGCCTCCGGAAACCAACGGCTGCCGACGGGGCCGCAACAGGTTGGCTGAATAGCAAGAAGTTTTGGTCACCATTGGTGGATTGCGAATTATTAAATGGAGCGGGAGCTTCATTGAAGTTATGTTGGTGTTGGTCCAGTCCACAAATACGTGTGTGATGGAATTTGAATTGTAAAATTCTCCTGCAAGAAAAATCCACATTGCACAGTGACAAGTCCTGTAGCAAAAGGGCCATTTGCATGAGGCACTTGACTTTTATTTATGGGCCGACTTCGGCAACGGCCATGGTGGTGTGAGTTCACGTTACCTAGGTGGTCATTCGGATTGGAGGCGTGCACACCTGAGGGGCCTGAATCACCGCAGGATTCGTTAGAATATTGTGGAGATGACGGTCCACTCATTGCTCTGATACATATTAGGCCCTCCGTGCACACGAAAATGTGCTCCAATGACCCCACACAGGGTGTCCGTCAGGATGGCAGTATGCCAATGCAATATCATACAACGTGGGCACCTTCCGAGTGCCAACCCAATTTACTGGCTTTTATATTGCCAATACAAAATAAAGGTAAGGCGTCAGATAGCTCAGAGATATAATGTCTACAATATTCAAGGGCAAATTTCCTTCCCGTCGGGTCCAGATTGCAATGAGACATGCCCAAGAATGTTCAAAAACAAACACCAAGATGAAAATCCCCCCTCACCAGATGATGAATCAAAGGAAACAATTGTTCCCTCTGGTTCCCTTTCACCCGGTTCCCTGTTGCCCAGCAGGGTGACTAGTAGTCACTGACTAAGGCAATGCCACAACAACGACGCAGAGCAACATATCGATACATGCTCTGATACCACCAACTACACGCGATTCTGGATCCCAATGCACTGGAATTAGGAAGCCGGACACCGCAGAATATTCGTAAGGTGTCAGACCGATGCCCACGGCCTACCGAGGAGGGACCCTACCACAGAACTGTATTTTCGGCCTCCCCGGGTGCCACCGCCTTGTGCCCTTGATCTGGACCGCAACTCCTTCCTCGCCGCTACACGCGCGCTCCCCCCCATTTGTGTCGTGCCATACACAACGTACCATACACCGTGCAACGTCCTGCAACCACACACACCGTATTTTCAACACCGTATTTCACAACCGTTTTTTGCTCACTCCCGACGGCCGTGCCTGATGCTGGTGATCCCGGGCCCCTCCTCCTTCCTCGCCGCTTCACCCATGCGCTCCCTCGCTTGAGCCCCCAAAGTCGTCGCCCAGGCAGCAAGGCATCCCTCCCACCCCCCCCGCGCCATGGACCGAGGCACCCGCGCGCAGAGGAAGGCCGCCCACTGCAAGGGCCGCATTCCCTGTCGGCCCCACGACCTGCGCGAGCCGCCGCCCGTGTGCGACTACTCGGCGCGCAAGGCCACGGGCGAGCGCGCCAGGATCTCCCGCAGGCGCCAGCAGAAGTGTGCCAGGGCGATGCGCAACGGCGGCGCTAGGCACATCAAACGGGGCAATCCATTAAAGCCGTCCTACGACGACTTGGGCTCCAGCGCGTTCAGCCGGCGGCTGGAGGTGAAGAAGTACGCCGCGCGGAAGAACAAGCAGGCGAAGGCCTCCGGGGGTGACCTGTGCCGCGAGGCCGAGCTTCACTTTCCGGCGGAAAGCGGATCCGAGTCCGGGATTGATGGCGGGGAGGCGGAGGGGGGATGTGCGCCCGAGACGCGCCGGTTGGCCGACGAGCTGGCCTGGTCGCTGCTGGCCACGCCGGAGGGGGCGGGGCCGGCGGGCCCGTCGGCCGAGGAGGAGAATGCGTCGGAGTGCTCGTCGGAGGGGTGGGAGGTAGTGGACGGAAGCTTCGACGTGGAGAGCGTCGACGAGTTCGACCAGCGGTGAGCCGATCGGCGCAGCGCGGCGTGCGCCCGGGGACAACGTGATTGGCTGGTTTGGTTGGTTGAGAAGGGATCGGGGTGGAGTCCCCCGGGGGGGTGAGGGGGGCCTGGGCCTGGGTGGCGAGAGATGTGGATGGTGGGGTGAGGGGGACGCCGTCCGTGGGTTGGTCGAGCCTGCGGGTCGAGCTTGCTCGGGTGAGGGCGGGTGGGGGTGTGCGCCTGGGGCGGGCGCCAGCGGCCTCTGGTGTCCCAGCGGAGGAAGCCGGGATGCGGGGAAGAAATGAGGAATTTGAGCCAAATGAGTGCCTCTGAAAATTGTTGTGTCAACCCTAGGGCTGGCCCGCGCGGGACCACCCTGTTGCCTGATGAGCGCTCGGAGCAGTGGAGGCGCACACACTTCCGCGGGCACAATCGCTGCGGGTGCGATTGCCAGTGAAAGGCACAACACATTTAGGAACGGCACACTACATTCTGGGATTGTGATGGCCGGTGGGATAGTTCGTGGGCAGATCTCCGCGACAATGCACGGTCCGCAGATGCGGGTGGGTGGCACATTGCATGGAAAGTTCAGAGCAATAATCGTGTAACATGGCTCTGGGGACGGGCAATTTTTCCCGGGGCTCTTGGGGGTGGTGTGGTGTACATCGACATCTGTGTAAAGTTCTCACTGTGTTCAGTCGTCGACGCGCCAGGCTAGCTTCGAACTGATGAGGGCGTGTGGAATCGGGCGGCTTCTGCCTCGCTTATCCCAGCCCGCCTCCAATGAACTGCACGTCGAATATTCAACTTGAGGTGGTCGTCTCTTCCGCTTCAAGCACGAAAAGAATGCTTGCTTCCATTTCTCTTTCACTGTTGGCTATCTGTGCAGTTGTCGGCGCCAGGCAGTGAACCAAGTGGCGAGTCAAGTGGCACATGGGCGTCGAATCATCGAAGCCGCTGGACGTCTCATTGTTCTTCACGTCACCGCGCTCGCGGGCTGGACAACGCATGCATGCCCTGGGAGTCCAGGGGCCGCAATATGGCGTGTGGAATATGTGTTTGAATGAGCTGCTATCATTCACTGAGTATTGCTCCATCCAGCAGGTGGTGGAATTGGAAGGGAGGGCGTGTGTCGAGGCTTGATTGGGGAAGTTCAGGAATGGAGAATGCGCTGGATTCACAGCGATCAACCCAGAAGCGGTGCGGCGGATTGCGCCATGGCCAGAAACCTGACGTCGGGACGTTCCCTGCGCCAAGAAATCGGCCGCGCAAGCTGTTTCCCCGCCCACGACAGCCGCAAAACCGCCGCCGCGTTCTTTATCCCCGGTTAGGAGACACCCATTTCACGTGCTTGCCCAAAGCTGGCCTGGAGACGAGGCTCCCGGTTGCAAACTGTAATGCAAAGCCCCTCGATGTTCCCACTGCCGTTGCGCGACCCACACAGGACTCGAGGTGTCGCTGGATGTCCAGCCCCTCACCCGGTTGCGCAAGTCTCAATCTTAACACGGATCGCCGAGGCATGTCCTTGGCCCAGTTTCCCCGACGCCGTTAGCAACAGCACTCTCCGGCACCACTGTCGGTGCATCTCTTTGCAGACTGCGTGCTGTCCCTCGTTTGCGGTCCCCGTGCCTTTAAACCCTCCGACATCCAGCAGCTCCAAGGACCGCGGCCAATGAGCTTCAGCGTGGGCGGTGGTCCCGAATGCTCCCCAGCGGAATGGGGACGAGCGGAGCGCCCCAGTACCTTGGTGCTGCATCCGAGGGGCGGCTGTTCATGATTTGAAGCCCTTGCCGGCGGATATTGGAAGTTTGTCGAATCGGATGATGGTGTCTGGCGGCTGCGGCGAGTTCGCATCCTGGGCCTCGGGGTCCTCAGAGCCCGAGATGGACCTCCGCCTGTAGACGCCGGTGTACATGTTCTTGTCATCGTGGAATTTGACGTAGCTGGCCTTCGTTGCGTTGGTTCTGGGCCCCTCGGCGTCCAGCATGATGCGCTTCAGAGCCTCTGGCGAAATTTTCTGTGGACAAATTTTATAATTAATATAGTATTTTTTTAATTTTGGCGCTCGGGTCCATGAGCAATGAAAGGCAGCGGACCTGTCCCCAGCTTCCCTCAAGCTCGCTCGCTCTCCTCCCGTTCAAGGGGGGTCATGGTGAATACTTTTGAAAGGATCTGAAAATCATATTCTGAAGAGCATTTCGATGATAGACTCCAGCAATTGTGGGGATGACGGCGTATCGATATCCATGTATGGCCAAGTAAGTTGAGTTGCAAAATACTATTGATACGCATAAGTGACCAGGGACATCATGGTTACTCTCCAGAATCAAGTAGAAATTCAGTTCATTCCGTCGCGTCACACTGCACCGAAAGCCTGCTCCACCCATGCACGAATTGGCTTAATGTGAGATGCATTTGTGTTCCTTGTGTTGTGACGCCCCGTGACAAGCCAAAATACAAAAAGTGGCCTTGTACATTAGACGCAGGCCCGCCCCTTCTTTGTAGATGCATTAGGAACAAACTCAGGCATTTATTATCGGCAAAATAACATTTGGCATGTATTGCTTGTATTCTATAACGCCTATGCTGTATGCAGCACGTCCTCAAAGTATCTTCGTCAATTTTTTGGTGTTATGTCCGTAATGCTTATCTTTCGCTTGTTCAAAACATGCTTACAAGCTAGTGCAGTGGATTTGCACGAAACACTTGTGGCAAGGGTTTCAGATCTTTGTCCCAGAGCGAGCAATATGACGTCCTTATTGTGGCCGCCTCTTCTCCGAATGCGTGCAATCAACGGCAATCAATTCTCATAACTTAAGTGTTGGAAACAAAACAACCTTACAGATATAAATGAAGTCTCAGTGGTAAAGCGTTGCCCCGAAAAACAGTCAGATGGCCATACACGATTGTTTTCACTTCAACAGATGCACAGCTTATCAGAGCTGCCACTTGCGCTGACGGCATTGCAGCTACAGCACAGTGTCGACCCATTGCACATGAGCGTGACCCTTTCTATTTTGGCGCTGACGCTCACGCATATTTACTTTGGGCCTACGCAGCCATGCTCAAAGCTGTCACCGGAAAATTGTTGCCTAGCTACCTCCTCGAAGACCCTTGGCACCGATTCCACCGAGCCATTAGAAAGGCCAACGACGTCGCCGAACAGACGGTCGCCTGGCACTCCCCGGTTCCCAGGCGCTTAAGCCTCGGCGCTGTAGGGATATAGCTCATATTTACGCGCACATGCTTATGATATGTGGAATCAAGCTGTGCTGGCAATTGCGCATTAGCATAAGCATTTGTGCGCTTGATTGGGATCCATTCACTTATACGAAATTTTGGCAATTTACAGTTGCTTGAACTCTCTGGAATTTGGGCAGGTTATATGATTAGAATTGATATTTTGTCCAGCCAGGTGATTCAGGTCACCTTTTTCTCTCCAATCATTTCTATGGCTTGCTCAAATTGCCTGAAGTTGATCTTCCTCGTGCCTTTCGCCTTCACCTGTTGAGCAAGTCACACTTTCGAGTCATTTGTGCTGCCATCTGTGCGCGGGTCGATGCTAATCGAGGGACTTTCCTCCGCTGCCCTCAGCACAGTTGACGGTCTCCAGAATTTGTACGCTCTCAATCCCACCACAGCCTAGACTTTCATCCACTGAAGCAACAAGTCTGCTGATGGAAGGCCATCACAAGCTCCCTGCAAATCGGCGCAACCCATCGGCGGTCCCGCTGAAACACAAAACATGACAGTTCGCGACACAATCTTGCTGTAGGCTTTGGCGCAGGGCGCATGTTTAATCATACCAGTTTGAGTTATTCAATATCCAAGATGAAAATTTTGCCCTGCATGTTGCATATTTGGTATGATATTCCCACCTTGGCAAAAATGAGATCGACATCGGTGGTCGTCAGGGTCTTTCCGTCGATGAGTTTGCAGTCCCTCCACAGTTTGGTGAATTTAGCGCCGTCGAGCTCGACCGAAACCTGAGAAAGAGACAGTGGCCTCTCATACACTTATTACTGGTACGGGTTTTTCGACCATTAAATCGAAAAAATTGCTTGAAGTTTTCAGAAGTTCAAGCATTCAGCATAAAGGCGCGGACAGAAATTTTGGAAACTGGCCGTTCCTGTGAAGGTAAAACGTTCCATACCCCCTCTCAAATAACTCGCCATCGGCTCTGGCCCTCAGCGGTGCAGATTCTGTGCCGCAGACGACGCCAGCAGTGTCCCAGCTCACTTTTCCTTTTGCCCCAGCGTTTTCTTGAGAGCGTGTACGAGAAATGCGAGAAAGAAAAAGGAAAAAAACGAAAAATGAAAGAAAAAGAAAAGAAAAAGAAAAAGGAAGACAAGGAAAGAAAGAGAATAACCTGTCGAGGCGCATCGCCCAGGATCGTGCGGAGGCCTGCACAATGGGCGGGCGTCTCTGTCGTGTGCTTCGCCGCCGCCCAAAGAAGATGCCCCGCAATCAGCAGACCCTCGGCAGCCCACAGCGACATCCCGGAGAACAGCGGTGCAACCCATGGTGGCTGTGACCGTCAAACCTGGCGGGAGGCCTCCCGGCAGCGCGGAATGCAACAGTCGCAAGACACTAGGCCAGAGTTGTGACTCCGGGGAGCCGGGCTTCGATTTGGGAGCCCCCACTTCCTCCGTTCCAAAACGACCGTCGCTTGCGGCAAAGTGACGCCTTCGCGCTTCGTCCGAAAAACCGCCGCTCGCGCGGCAGTGGGGAGGTCCCTGGGCTTGAGCGGCCGGGCTGCCAGGGGGGTAATGTTTCGAATCCCCGTTGATGTCACCGCGCCGCACGGACGGGGTCCGATAGTTCCCCAGAGATCGCTCCGTCAGATCCAATCCGCCCTTGTAAAACCGGCCCCTTAAGAAATCCGAGCCACGGTGGAGCTCAGCGGCCAGCCCGCTCGCGAGCAGAAAAGGGCCATTTTCGCGCCATCCGCGGCGGGGGAATGCCAGCCATGGGCACCCAAAATTCGCGACAGTAGCGCAGCGCCAGTTCTGGAAGCAGCCAGGGCGGCACGTGGGACGGGCAGCTAAGAATGGGAGGGCAGCGGACGGGAGCCGATGGCCGCCGGCGCCGTCCTCACCTGCCGCGTTCCGTAGCTGCAGAAGCTGTCAAACAGGATCCTCAGCTCCTCGTCCTGACCGCAGATCCGCACAAAACATCCGCTCAGAATGCCCCTCCGCCGGAAAATCGCCCCGAATCTGCCTCCCGGACGTCCTGCGAAGCGATCGGGCGCGGGTCTGCGATCGCCGGCCACCTGCGCCATTGGCCCCGCCCTCCCGCGGCGGCGTGGCTTGCGGTCCGCGGGTCAGATCCTGGCGGGATCTGGACGGCGGGATGCCGGGCGAATTTTGGGGCAGTGAGATTTCGCGCCCGGCGGTGGGGTCGTCTGGGCTGGTGCGGCGGAGGGCGGCTGGGCAAGGGAAGGCGCCCGGACGGTTGTGCGGCGCTGCCGCCGGATCTGGGGCGGGGAAGACGGTTCTGTTCCCTGCGGCCGCACGACGCGCCCGGGCTGCGTTCCATCAAAAGGGGAAATTTTGCACCGGTGGTCTTCATGCAAGGGCTCATCACCAGCAACAGGGAATGTCATCAGGCATAAAATTACTCCCTGCATCAAATTGGTGACTGCTTGCACGAAAACGGTGACTGCTTGCACCAAGTCACGTGCACATCGTGTCCAACTCCGTCAAAACTAACCTAACCTAAACCCTAAACCCTAAACCTAAACCTGTCCTAACCCTAACCCTAACCCTAAAACTCACCCTGAACCAAACCTAACCCTAAAACTGAGGTTAGGACAAAGTGTGCACGTGACTTGGTGCAAGCAGTCACCGATTTGGTGCAGGCAGTAATATTATTTCATGTCATCATCATCATCATTCATTTTTACATAACAAGGCAATGAGGTAGCCGTCAGCTTCCTAGTTCGCCGGAGCAAAGCAGTGCCTATGATCAATTCACTGAAATCTAATGAATAACACAATCAAAGTCTATCAATCTATTAACTCCTAATTAAGGGCAATATAATGCCATGGAATTAAGAAATGTCACATGCCTGGGCGGGCAGTTATCCGTGATTTGTTCCATCAGAGCCCAAGATATTGCTAGGCCAACACCTGAGCTGTTGTGGATGAGAACGCGTAACTTCACAAAATTGGGTGTCTTCAATCGCCCCCAGTCCTTTGTTTGCAATTCTAAGCATGACAACTAATAAACTCCGCACTTTCCAACTCAGTTGCGGGAATGGTTTCGCCAATCGAAAATTGATGGCTTACTCTTTTTTTAACAAGGTACCAAGACGTTGAATCTTGCGGGCGTGGTTTCAATCCAGCCTGCCGTTTCGGGAAAACTGGGTTTTACTACGAAACACCAGAATATGAAATGCTACTAAGTGCTCCAAAACCCAAAAAGGTCTTCTGGTGAATTTTGCGACGACGTTACCCAATTCGTCGCATTTTGCAGCGGTAGATGGGCGAATTTTGCAGCAGCAGCAGCAGCCACAGCCATCAATCCAACAATGGGCTCAGCCGTTGGGCCGCAACTCTGCATTGGCAC